TAGAGGACATTATGTTAAGCAAAATAAGCCAAGAACAGAAAGATAAATACCGCATGTTCTTACTTACATGTGGCAGAAAAAAAAATTGAGCTCATGGAAATAGAGAACAGAATTGTGAGGCTGGGAAAGGCAGGGGGAGGGGAGAATGAAGAGACAAAATTTTCATTTGTATTAATGAAAACAAAATTACAGCTAGAAAGGAGACACGAGTTCTGGTGCTCTACAGCACTGTAGGGTGAGAACCATTAACTATAATTTACTGTATATTTTCAAAAAGCTGAAAGAGAAGATTTTAAATGTTCACAACACAAAAAAATGATAAATGATTGAGGTGATGATATGCTTATTATCCTGATTTGGTTATTATACATTGTATATATGCATCTAAATATCACTCTGTATCCCATAAATATGTACAGTTATGTGTCAACTAAAACTAAAATAATAATAATAAAAACTATAGTGTAGTAAATAAATGAACCAGTAACATAGTTGTCTGTTATCATTAACAACTATTATGTACCGTACATAATTACACATGCTATGCTTTTATACAACTGGCAGTGCATTAAGTTTGTTTACACCAGCATCACCACAAACTCGTGAGTAATGCATTGCACTGGAATGTTACAATGGCTACAACATCACTAGGTAATAGGAATTTTTCTTCTTCACTAAAATCTTATGGGACCACCATCATATATGTAATCTGTCATTGACAGCGCCTGACTATACGCCCCTTGTGTGAGTTAAAAGTAAGTACCCCTTTCTCAAGACCTTTCCTTCCATGTTAGAAAACTATCTTCACTTTGGGAGGCCGAGGTGGGTGGATCAAGAGGTCAAGAGATCGAGACCATCCTGGTCAACATGGTGAAACCCCGTCTCTACTAAAAATACAAAAAAATCAGCTGGGCATGGTGGCACGTGCCTGTAATCCCAGCTACTCAGGAGGCTGAGGCAGGAGAATTGCCTGAACCCAGGAGGCGGAGGTTGCGGTGAGCCGAGATCGCGCCATTGCACTCCAGCCTGGGTAACAAGAGCAAAACTCCGTCTCAAAAAAAAAAGAAAACTATCTTGACTTTCTTTGTTAAAATATTTTCTTTATATATACCCAAAAGATTGTTGTAACAAATATGAACATTTACAGTGTTACCATGAGAATGGTGCCCCAGAGGGTTGTGTAGTGCACAACACACGTTTCTGTCTTAGATGGCCCTCAACTCTGACTATCCCACATCGCTGACCACCATGTCAGGATTATGTCTTTAGGTCTACATTAAACATATCACAGTATAAGGCCACTTTTAAGATTGAAATTGAACATTTTTAATTTCTGTGCTTTTATTAGCCCTAGAATAGGAAACATATTTGAAGATTATTGGCTTCTGGGAAGGATTTTACATACACATTTTAGACAAGTGGGAAGCTGTCTTAGTCCATTTTCTTCTGCTATAACAGAATACCATAATCTGGGGCCTGGCACGGTGGTTCACACCTGTAATCCCAGTAGTCTGGGAAGCTGAAGTGGGTGGATCACTTGAGGTCAGGAGTTCAAGACCAGCCTGGCCAACACAGTGAAACACTGTCTCTACTAAAAATACAAAAATTAGCCAGGCTTGGTGGTGCATGCCTGTAGTCCTAGCTACTTGGGAGGTGGAGGCATGAGAATTGCTTGAACTTGAGAATTGGAGGTTGCAGTGACCCCAAATTACACCACTGGACTCCATCCTGGGCAACAGAGTAAGTCTCTCTCTCTCTCTCTCTCTCTCTCTCTCTCTCTCTCTCTCTCTCCCTCCATATATATATATACACACACACCATATATATGTATGTATATATATATATATATATATATATATATACACCATGTAAGTCTCTCTCGCTCGCTCTCTCTCTATGTATATATATATATATATATATATATATAAACACCACAGTCTGGGTATTTATTTAGCTCATGTTTCTGGAGGCCAGGAAGTCCAAGATTGAGGGGATAATTCTTAGTGTTACATCCTAACAAAGCAGAGGGAAATAGATATGCAAGTCAGAGAGAGAAACTAAGCCAAACTCATCCTTTTTATTGGGAGCCCACTCCTGGGATAGCTAACTCATTCCCACAATAAGGGCTTTAATTCATTCATAAGGACAGAGCCCTCATTTCCTAATCACTTTCTAAAGCCTCCACCTCTTAATACTATTAGAATGGCAATTACATTTCTACGTAAGTTTTGGTGGAGACATTCAAACCAGAGCAGACATTAATAATATACATATATGTTATGTGTATTTTTGTGTTAAAATTGAATAGCCATTATGTTTACAGAAAAACATACTACAATTGTCCATTTTAGTAGGGCCCATTTTTCTAGCCAAATACCATGGATTAAAAGCTGAATTTAAGAAAAGAAAGAATCTCAAAAAGTTGTTAAGCAAGGTTAAATCCAGTTTTTCTTTTTCACACAGACCTTCGGTGTGTCTATTTCTTGGATAATTGGCACCTTATGAAATAATCACTAATAATAGTTATCTTTTAGTGGATTCCTGGCGTCGCCCTCAGCTGAGCACTGTAAGTACATTATTACATTTAATCCTCTCAGCCACCTTATGGGATCGATATTATTATCTCATTTCACAGAGGAGAAAGCTGAGGCTTAAAGAAGTGATGTAATTTTGCCCCAAGTAAATAGCTAGTAGGTTGAGGAGTCAGGGTTCCAACCCACTCTCTTGGAATCTGTAACCACCTGCTCTTAGTCACTCCTGTGTGTCAGTCTCCCTTGGCACTAGATAAAATGATGATTAGGGTAGTGTAATGAGCCTTTTGGACTGCTTACAAACCATGAACTACTGCAAATTTGAGTTTAAAGGGCTTAGCTTAGGACTAGGAGATATGCCACGGAAGCCAAAATCACGGGTGGCCTTTATCTGTGGGATAAAGTTTGTCACTCAGCATCCTGAATACTGTGTGCCTTTAAACAAGGCAAGTCTGATACCATAATGTGGACAATAACTTAGCCAAAGCGTCATTTCTATATATGAAGGCCAAGTAGCATTAACAAACATGCAAATTCTAATTTTAAAATTTGGACATTTTAGAGCTAAAACAATCGACTCCTTTTGGGCCAAGTAACTGAACAAAAATTTTCCCACAAAGGGCAAGTTCAGTATTTTCATTTCTGTAACACTCTGACCCACGTCCTTTTTCATTAATGCTGCACTATCTGTGAGAGTCCCTTTGTGGCCCAGAAGAGTCAGTTTGCTCCCTAACACACTTGGAGAAAGATTTGGGAATACTGCAGCATTTCATTTCCTGTTTGTCTAGCTTGATGATAACTGGTCTCTTTTCAAACTGTGAAGATGAAATCAGGAGAAGAGTATGAAATATCAGTTTAACAATGACCACTTCCCGCCCCATGAGACAAAGAAGTGAAGGGTTTAGTGATTTTTATGACGATGGGCACTACAGAAAATATTAAAAGCTTCTAAATCCCAGGGACTTCATGACTTCAATTGTGAGGGCCAGCCACATCGACATCACAGATACTTCCTGCAGTCACAATGCTACTAAGTCACCCTTGGGAAGATGCCCCAGAAACAGAAAGATCTTAGTTAGGATGCAATTATGATTCCTTAGTACTCTGGCTTCCTGAGAAAAATTTTAAAAATCAGAGATTTTTTTTTTTTCAAAAATATCAAATCAACAAAAAATAAAGCTGGAAAATCAAGCATCATGAATTCAGGTACTTATGGACTATTCAAGGTCTCTAAATTTCTCCTACTTCATTACCTTTCTTATATTTATTTTTACATGTAAACAAAATAATAAATCCCAATGAAGACCCTCAGAAGGCTTTGGCACCATAGGGTAAGAACTTAAACAAATTTACAAGAAAAAGAAACACCATCAAAAAGTAAGTGAAGGATATGAACAGACACTTCTCAAAAGAAGACATTTATGCAGCCAACAAACGCGAAAAAAGCTAATCATCACTGGTCGTTAGAGAAATGCAAATCAAAACCACAATGAGATGCCATCTCAGGCCAGTTAGAATGGCGATCATTAAAAAGTCAGGAAACAACAGATGCTGGAGAGGATGTGGAGAAATAGGAAAGCTTTTACACTGTTGGTGGGAGTGTAAATTAGTTCAACCATTGTGGGTGACATTGTGGTGATTCCTCAAGGATCTAGAACCAGAAATACCATTTGACCCAGCAATCCCATTACTAGGTATATACCCAAAGGATTATAAATCATTCTACTATAAAGACACATGCACACGTATGTTTGCTGTAGCACTGTTCACAACAGCAAAGACTTGGAACCAACCCAAATGCCCATCTATGTTAGACTGGATAAAGAAAATGTGGCACACATATGCCATGGAATACTATGCAGCCATAAAAAAGGATGAGTTCATGTCCTTTGCAGGGACATGGATGAAGCTGGAAACCATTGTTCTCAGCAAACTAACACAGGAACAGAATACCAAATACCGCATGTTCTCACTCATAAGTGGGAGTTGAACAATGAGAGCACATGGACACAGGAAAGGGAACATCACACACCTGGGCCTATAGGGTGTGGAAGGCTAGGGAAGGGATAGCATTAGGAGAAAATAGCTAATGTAGATGACAGGTTGATGGACACAGCAAACCACCTTGGTGTGTGTATACCTATGTAACAAACGTGCATGTTCTGCACATGTATCCTAGAACTTAAAAGTATAATAAAAAAATTATTCTCTATTATTTTAGAGCTGTTTGATCTTAACAAAATTTCTAAATGTCTTATAGAAGTATCTGTAAAGATATGTTTTTCTAGCTAACTAAAGATGTTATGGGGGTGTGGGGGAGAATTGGGGTAAGAGAGGAAAGGGGAAGTGTAAAACAAATTGAAAGCCTTTGAAAGCTTCCCTTTAAGCTAAGCCATATGTACAGAAACTGCCCTCGATTAAAAAAAAATTCACAGCACTGCAGAAATTGCACTTGCCATAGTTCCTGACCTGATTCAGCATTCTGGTTACCTAGATACAGATGTAAACAAAAGTGCCTCTCCAACTGTGACTGCGGAAGAACAGCCAGATGAACCTGATGGCCCCCTGCCTGGCTCAGCCAATGACCAAGAAAAGAAAGCAAGTACTTTTCAATATTCACATTAAAATTAGAATACTTTGCTCAGCTTTTCTAAAGCTTAGAGTGCTTAGAGAGTTTAAGAAGTCCTGGAAGATTAGTGCTCCCACATTTCCTGTTTGTTCTGTCTTGGCAAAATGACTGCTGACAACACAGCTGAAAAGAAAAATGGCCTCAATTTACAAATTCATTAATTAGACTGATTTTTAATACATAGGACAAAAATGTTTTGAGTTAATCATGATGTATTTTTATGTAGATTCAAAAGGAACCATGATAAATTCAAGGTGCAGACTTTAACATAAAAACAGTATAGCTAAATAGAATGTTCCTTAGAATTTGTGGTATTTCTCCATTAGCTAAAAAGAACACTTTTTAAAGCAAACAGTGTTTTTAGACTGTTTTTGTACTTCTCTTAACACCTTGTAATTTATATAACAAGAGGCAGATGCAGTGTCTTGTTACATAAAGAACTAGCGCAATATGAAACATTGATTTTCAGTAGGTATTATATAGGCTGTACCACATACTAGCTGTGGGACTTTGGAATGATTACTTAACCTCTCTGTTTCTTCTTCTGTAAAATGGGTGCATTAGGCTTATCATGCAAAGTTATTGTGGGTTTGAATGAGTTACTTAATTAAGTGCTTAGCAAGTAGGAAGGGCTATTGTATGATTATCTTCATCTTCTATATGATCTTGGGTAAGTCCAGTGCTTCTCTGATCCTGAAGCTCCTCACCTATAAAAAATAATGATCTTAGTTTCTTTCCATAATAAGGGTTTCAGCTACTTGAGGTAACTAATGTCATCCTTACACTAATGTAAAGGTAATGATACCACTTTGTAGGGCATCATGTCAAATAAAATTATGTCATATACAAAAAAGTATTTTGTAGCACATAAAACCAAAAAGCTATAACATATTAAAGTATTATTATGAAATGGATAAAAACTGATACATGAGAAAAAAAATTCCCATAGTAGCCATCAAGTTGTTTGACTGTGAGACAATTTTATATATAATAACATGCTAGCTTATAGGAATGAGGACAAGACAGACCTGACTCTTATGTTTAATTAGCAAAGATATAAAATTTAAACACTGTCTTAGATTTAAAAAGACAGTATTTAAATTAAAACCTAAAAATTACACTTAAAAAAATGCACCAAAAGCCAATATCAATGGCTTTTGTTCCAGGTAGCAAAATTACAAGTGAGGATTTTATTCTGTATCTTTAACCTTTTTATATTTTTCCAATATTCCTCCATTGTTGGGCTTAACATTTGCCACTTAAAAAGTGTGTGTTGTAGGTGTGTTTTTAAGAAGATGCTACTTATGGTCTTTCAAATAAGACTTAAAAATTAATAAAGTAAAAAAACATAGATCTAATTGTTACACTACAGAAGGAGAAAGGAGTTAGTGCCTTTAGACACAGTATTCATCTTACACTTAATTCCGCAAATACTTGGAGAGGGCTACTGTTTGCAAACATATAAGGAAGTACCAATCTGGTTGCTGAGGAAATACCAGAAATAGATCCCCCCACAGACCAGAGGCAGCAGTGGAAAGGTGGCCAGGAAAGAACTGACAATGAAGTGGGTGAGGGTCTCAGGACCCGGTACTGTTCCAGTGGGAAGCAGGAGTGAATATGCCCCATGGCAGAAGGCATCAGGACCTCTGAGACTTAGGACCGTTTCCATAATGTGGGCACCTGAGTGCCCAGTGAATCTTTAGATCTATTCTCTAGGGGAAGATGTAGCTTAACAGCATCAGACCCATTGCAGACCCCATTCAGTAATGGGGGGGAGGGTAAAGCTCTCTCCTCAGGGCTCACGGGAGCCTCTAGCCTGTGCTGCCTGCCCACCACCAAGAGGGCTAGGTCAGGAGAGACACTGTCAGGCATTCTTTATTAGCGTCCTTGTTAATGGACTTAACGTTTTTTTCTTTAAGTGTTTTTGGAGGATGGAGGTATCCAATTAAGTTTCTTAGAACTTAAGAAGTAGTAATTCCTTGGGCATTTGAAAAAGGAATGCTTTCTGTAAGTGAATCTTAACCTAGTCTGCCCACCATTACAGTACACAGTAACATAAAGCAAGAAAAAATATCCTAGGGACATATTTTGTTAAAGTTTTTAACTGAGGTGGAATACCACTCATATTCTCCATATTGGATCCAGTTCAGCAATAGGCTATTAGAATCAATCTGTCTTATTTTTTAAGCTTAAAAGAATATTAGAATTTAAGGCATTTTTGGGATACGCAAAACAGTGAGTACATTGAGTATCTTATTTCCTGTCGTAAAAATGCTGCAAATTATCAACTTTCATGAAAATAGAACTTTCTAGTAGTAGCATTTTATTGAATTATAAGTTATCAGTTAAGTGTACATGTGACCAGCTATACCTAATGTTAGTAAATTATGTATATGACTGTGCTCTAACTATAATAATCTGATACCCAGGTACTTGGACAGGCTTGTTTTCTAGTTTAGAGGTTTGATTTTGAAAATTAGCTGTTTCTCCTTAGAAATCAGCATGTTAGGAATCATTCACTCTGTGAAGACATGTTTAGTAACTGAGTGAATAATCATTAGATATTTCATTTTAAAATTATCTAAGAATAATCTATGGCTTTGGCTTTTCCAGAAAGGTTTTCTTGACTGTGATACCAAATCTGTGAAATACAACTCTCTAGTATCTCCACAGAACTTAATTTTGGTTTTAGTCATTAGCAATACAAAGGGGGCATGTGTAAGATTAACTGGGCTGATTATCTGGTCGATGGTATATATTTTGTTTAAAATTAAAACACTTTAAAGATAAATTGGATAAAAGTAATCTGTAAAGAAACAGATGATATATTCTGAATCTGTAACCTTTTAGGTAAGACTGTCTCCAGCCAAAATGTCAAGCAAGAATTCTACAGATCTAGTTGAATATGTTGACAAGTAAGTGTGTAAATTACAACTAGTTTTAACTATTAACTGCATTACTGTGACAAATTTCACACAAAAAAGAAAAAATAAAGCTATGCATTTAATTATTCAGTCAGAGATTAATGTGCCTGAAAGAGACCTTTAAGTTCTCTGTGTTTGGAAGAGACAAAATCGTATCAGAAAGACAAACCTCCTGATCCTGCTTCTTTCTGATTGGCAGAACACGCAGATTTAACTATCTTTTCTTTAAATTACCTCTATAGGTTCCCGTAGATTTACATAAAAAGCAATGCAACACGTTGCATATTGCGACAATATCAGACATATATAGCTAACTATGACTTCAAGTAAACCTGTTAACATTTCATGATAAAAACTCAGGAAATATTGAAATATATTTCATTAATCACTAGAAAATGTTGTTTCTGCTGTTTACAGTGCCATACCTGGAGCTCACCCAGGAAAGGTGTACTGCAGAGAAACAACTCTGGGCACTTGGAAATAGAGTAGCACACTATTAACACATGCACATTGTCCAAAATACTGGAGAATGCCAGTTGATGAAGGTGGTATTGCAGAGGCAATGCATATCAATTTGAGTTGTTTTCTATTCTGTATGTCAAAGCAGGATTTGGTCTAATGCTACCATTCACTTTTTCAGGGCACTGGGGATTTAGTCTCAGTCCTTCTACTACTTTGCTGTGTGATGTTAGTCAGTCACATAACGTCTCTGAGCTTTAGTTTCTTCATTTGAAAAACAAAGACGCTGGACTAGGAACTCCATAGAATTTACTGAAGCTTTGAAATAATTCTGATTTTAATAATCATGACCATAGAAGAAAAAAATGGTCAAATAAATGAAATGAGCTTATGTGAAGAGAAAAATCTAAATACATATTAAACTTTGATTTTTTAAAAAATTATCTTTAACAATTAAGATGATAAAATATCTTCACTAATTTTTACTGCATTTTTTTCATAAGAATTCCCCTGTCCTTTGGCCAGTTAAATTTAATACATTCCAAACAGTTCAATCACAGCATCTCAGCCCCTTTTTTCATATTCCCCATAGCTTGTATTTGTTTATATAACTATGAGTCTATGATTTAGAAAAAAATAAAACCAAGCATGGGAAAAATATGTTTTAAATGTTTAAAAAATGCAATATTTGGATAGATGACATTTTTTTCTGAGTTGAGGACAATGAATGTAGTATGCACAAAATAATTATTATAAATAAATATATTAGCTAACCTCATCTTCCAAGGAGAAATGGGAAACTTGTCCCTACTTGACTCTCTACATGAAAAATGGAAAATAAAAATCATTCTTCTGATCTGCCAAATTCTATTACAAACACACGTGGATTTCTTTAGCTCAAACTGGTGACCTACATCCCAGGAGATGAGAAAAGAAATTCCTGGAAAATGGTAACAAATGAAAGCATTCTAAGATAAACTTTTTAGATTTCTTGGCTTTCAGATAAATTAAAATGAAGACAAAGTGGAAAGAATAGTCTGTAATACAAAGCAAAAGCATGATAAAGATTACTTGCCTCTAACATTTATTTCCGCCTTGATCTCTCCCTTATCCCTTCTCTTACTATCTAAACCATATATTCAGAACTTTCTATTTATGACCTCACATTGTTAATTCTCTTCTGGTCTTTCTCTTCTCATCTCTCAGAACAGGCTGCAAACTTCCTAAAGGCAGGCACTCTATGACCTTATGATTTTTGATACCCCTCCAGTAGTTTATCATGGTGTACTGAATATGCTTGATGAACTATAGTTGACAGATTTAATGGAGAGTGATGGTAGAGCAACCGAATTGTTAAAGCTCTGCTTAACGCAGCTGATTAACTGGAAAAGCAAAATAGCATTTGGGCATTCCAGTAATCACTGGGGACATTTTGAATTGATGTATTTAATCCAATAACATAACAATAAAGAGCAATGGTTTTTAGAATAACTTCACTGGCTGGGCACAGTGGCTCGCATCTATAATCCCACCACTTTGGGAGGCCGAGGTGGGCAGATCGCCTGAGGTCAGGAGTTCAAGACCAGCCTGGCCAAGATGGTGAAACCCCATCTGTACTAAAAATACAAAAATTAACCAAGTGTGGTGATACACACCTGTAATCCCAGCTACTCTGGAGGCTGAGGCAGGATAATCACTTGAACCTAGGAGGCGGAGGTTGCAGTGAATGGAGATCAGATCACTGCACTCCTGCTTGGGTGACAGAGTGAAACTCCATCTCTAAATAAATACATAAATACATGAAATAAAAAACTTCATCCTTCAACTCATAGTTTTCATTGGGTGACAACAAGTGGATTGACATGAAGAGTACTAAAGTAAGGGTCATTATCAACTCATTAAATGGCCTGAATGTGTATTACGGGTTTTCAGAGGTTTGGTCTTAAAACCTATATAGGTATATTTACAGGTAATACTGTCAGCAAAGTATAACAACACAAAAAGTAAAAATCCAGGAACAAAAGAGGTAATTCCCAGCCACCGAAAAATCTAGCACTAGAGACATGCACGTTTAAGAGACAGGCAGATGGGGTGTGTTTTTACAAAGCCCTTCCTGCCTCAGACAGCTGGAGCAGCATCCAAGCATTATTAGTACTTGATAAATGTTAGATCATAATAATCCATGGGACAGGGTGAGAAGGGATGCTTGCAGTCTTTGATAGGACAATTATGGTGACATTCTATTAAAGGTAACACATAATTCTGATTTCCACATGTGTTCATTGATTCACAATGAGCAGACATCCACTAATTTAATGACAGTGTATCCAATGCTTATTTAACTGAGCAGAAAAGTACCTAGAGCTTTTTTTCCTGATTCTTCTGCTGCTGGTGGTGGTGGAAGAAGCACTAAATGGAGACCAGAGCACCTCAGGTACTCTTGAATTTGCCTCTAAACAGCTATATGACCTTGAAAAAAAGAAAATTTCTTCTCTGGCCATATCTGCCTGTGCTATAAAATGGGGTGGGGGTTTCAAGTGACCAATGATGAGCACCTGCCACTTCTCAACTCTGCCTACAATTTCTCATCAACATTCTCCTATGAAATAAAGTAGGTGGTTAAGCTTTAGAATAATGTACATTATTCTACCATGGGATTTAATTTTTAATGGAAAATAAATTCTGCCCATAAATCTCTTTTTTTTTCTTTAACTGACTCTCCTGGGGGTGGGGGAAGTTTTTCCTCATGGAATAAAATACTTTCTAAGGTCTCTTTCATCCTTATAACTCTTTGATCTTCAAAAACTTGTTGTCGCCATTTACTTACTTAATATATATTTATTAAGCATGTGCTACGTGTCAAGAACATGCTAGGCACTTGAAGAGACACCTGTGAACAAGACAGACAAAGATTCTCAAATGTGAAAATAATTTGACAAGAAGCTCCCTTGGGGAGCTATCTAATGAGGGGTTTGGAGCCATTCTAGCAGGAAGGAGATAAATGAATTATTAGATAACTAACCGGAGCAGGCCTCATTAAGAAGTTGGCATTTGAGAAAAGATGAGGAAGTGAGGAGTTTGGCCATGAGAACATCTGGGAGAAGAGCAAGCTTTCTAAGGCAGGAACAGTTCTATGGTGCCACAGGAACAGAAAGGGGGCAAGGGTGGCTGGAGTGAAAAGGAGGAAAATATAAATTTGAACTATGATAGCATCTGGGATTCTGTTTGACAGTCTCTGGGGAGAATGAATCCTGAGTTTTTGCTGCCCATGGAGCAAGTTCCAACTTTCCTGAACAAAAAGGAGACCAAGGAAATGAGGTTTTGTATTGAGGAGTTTTCTAGGCTGGGCTACGGCCAACATCTATCTCAGGAATTATCTCAAGAGTACATTTTGTGAAGATGAGGTTCTGGCTGACAGCCAAAGAATTGTATTTAAAATTTGGCTACATAAAACTTTCAGCAAGTCAAATGGGCAAAATAATAAATGATTAATGACTTCCCTTCTTGAGTGGAATATGGAATTCAGGTCTGAAAAAATTCATTTTCAAGCTTTTTCTTAGCACCATGGCTGACATTTTATTTTTCTGTGATGCATCGCTTTTGTTGCTACATGATGAAGACAGATATGTCACATGACAATACATGAGAAAGGAAGACAAAACTCTGTTGGTAGAACTTTCTATGGATAGATCACGTTAGGTTGGATGGCACTGCTATCAGCCACAGTGCAGTCTTTTTCTCTCTCTCTTTCTCTTTTCATGGCCCCCCACCTGTGATGGGCGAGGCTCTGCCGTGAGTGGACACAGTCACAGGAATTGGACATTAGCCATGGTGACCCCCAATTAATGAGGGCATGGGCTGCCCAAATGATGTTCAGTCCCTCCCAGGAGGTTGTCTAGATTCTTGCCCCATTTGAGACCTTCTGCTCAAGTGTGAGAACTCCACTGAGGTCGGGCTGATGAGGATCTCAGTTCTCTAGAGCAGAGAGGGAGTCCCTTCCAAACTCTGGGCCTCTGAGAGGAACCTTAGGACTCCAAGAAGAGGTGTGAGCCAGGCAGGAAAGGTGACTTGGTAAAAAATTACATGATATTGGCAGCAAGTTACATATTAAGAAGCAGAGGGAAAGACATACCTTTCTCCTCTGAGAAAGTGCAAATGTAACAGGAAGAGCCACTAACTGGCCTAAGCAAAGCTGCTGTGATATAAGAAAAGAGGAGAGGCTAAAATATTTCCCTGCTGAGTTACTGATAGCCACCAAGCCGGTTTCCTCCTAAATAGAGACCAATTTTACTTATGCCACAGGGTAGTGGCGGGAATGCAATGAAAATGATACGTTGACTATAAGCACTAAATAGAAATAAGATAGTGTTAGAATAAATTCCCTACATTTCTCCTGGGCTAGAAACTTCCTGCCACAAATTGGGTGGCTTTAAACAATAGAAATGTATGACCTCACAATTCTGGAGGTTGGAAGTCCAAAATCAAAGTGCCAGCAGGATTGGTTCCTTCTGAGGGCTCCAAGGGGAATCTGT